TGGCTTGTCAAGGAGACAAGGTGACACTTGGCACTTTAGGAGTGGCTCTACTAGATCTAAGTGTCTCCTCCTTGTCTCCTAGGAGACAAGGTAACACTTGGCACTCTATGATTGACTATTCTAGATCCAAGTGTCTCCACCTTATCTAGCTTGCACTACAAGCTTCTCCACCATTATATATTTTTTCTTTACATGTGAATCATTTTTGAAGATTGAGGAGTCATATTCTCTCATGTTTTCTCTTTCAAAAGCTTAAAACTCTTTTTGATTTACTTCTAATTCTCTTATCCTCTTCCATAGAGTGCGGTGAGTTTTGAAGTGATTTATCTTCTTCAAGAAGTGGCATTACTTGAAGAGAGTTCTTCACCATTGAAGGCGAATCAAGAGTTCTTCAACTCCATTGGAGAGCTCATTAAAGCTTAAGAAGTGTTAAGAAGCCAAAGGTCTAGGAAGAAGCTTGAAGGAGAAGTTACATCAATCTAGTTCCTCCTTGAGTCTTCCATCACTATACATGACTCACCATTAGACTCTGATGATAAAACCCATAACATTTTGTCTTAAACGTCCATAAACCACTCCATTTCATCAAAACAAACTCGTTGAAGAAGCCCTTCATCCTTAAAAGTCCAAGAAGAGACAATTGGTCCAGAAGCTCCCTATGCCCAAGACCAAGCGTCAAAAAGTGCTAAGTTTAAAGAAAACACATTGTCTATCACTGGAAAAGGAGAAGTAGACCCATCAAAAAAGAGTTGTACCAACTATTGATGAGAAGAAACTTATGCAAGAGGCATTTCAAGTGTCTATTGCTGAAGTTGTTCACTATAAGAAAAACTGTTATTATCTACGAAATTTTTTCTATAAATAATTTTTGGTTATCTACAGAATATTACCTACGAAATTTTTTCTATAGATACTGTTTAGTTATCTACGGATAAAATCCGTAGATAACAACTTTCGTGGGTTATCTACCGAAAACTTTCCGTAGATAACGTTATCTACGAATTTTTCGTAGATAACCTTGGCGGGATGCACAGCAAAATTTTCTATGCTATAAGTGATGTAAAGAATATTTGGTAAAAAATAAATATTATTAAAAAATTTCATTTTAAATTTTTTATTTTTATAAATTAATGATGATAAAAAATAACATACTAATATTTGGTATTAAATTTGATATGAAAATATTATAATATAATTAGATAAGATTTTAAATTAGTATTTTATTGATGATTGATAATTAGAAAATAAAATAAGAATAAATACATTTTTTGAATTTTATATCTTAGATTTAAGATGAATAAATATATTAAGTTAATTAATAATTTATTTAAAATGTTAAAATTTAATTTATAAAAATAATATTTTAAAAGAGAAGGGTTATAATAATATCAATGTAACTTTTACTAAGTATTACATCGCTCAATAACTTTATATTAAATGTGAATTTTATAAATTCAACCGTTAGATTGAAAGTTTTTTACTCTTAGATCATATATACAAAATTTTATATGAATTCAAGATGATTTGATACTTCATTCTTGTAAAATAAAATTGACGTAATATATACATTTCAAAATATATTAAAATATGAGCACTTTGATTACCTTCAAGTTGTTGTTCAATTTTAACAAAACTTGATATAAACATATAAAGTGATATGAACTTTCAATCTAACGGTTGGATTTACAAAATTCACATTTAATATAAAGTTATTGAACAATGTAATACTTAGTAAAAGTTATACCAGTGTTATTATAACCCTTCTCATTTTAAAATATAAAAATTATTATTTAAACTTTTAAATTTATAATAGATAATTTAAATTGTATCATAATATTAATTTTAAATAGAAATAAGTAGATTGTTAATTATAAAAGTAAGTATATATAAATAAAGATTAATTAAATATAATATAATTATTATTATTGGTAATATAATTATTATATATATTTTTATATTTTTATAGTAGTGTGGACACACCAAAATGAGAGAGATTGCAGTAAGGACAAAATACGTTGAAAAGTAGAGTGGCGTAAAATAGCATCATTGAGAGGCCAAATATAAGAGTTGTTACATTAATAAATTTATTAAAATTAAACAAAAAATTTCCGAAGGTTATCTACGGATAAAATCCGTAGATAACAACTTTACGAAAAATTTCCTGTAGATAACATTATCTACGAAAAAAATCTGTAGATAACAACTTTCGTGGGTTATCTACGGAAAACTTTCCGTAGATAACTTTTCTACAAAAAATGTTCCGTAGGTAACGTTATCTACGACCTTATTACCTACGAATTTTTAGCTGTAGATAATTCGTAGATAATTGGTAGATAATTAAGACTTATCTACGGATTTTCATGCTAATCTACGGATTTCTTCTGTAGATAATCCTGATTTTTCTTGTAGTGGTTGAAAAACAAAAGGAACTGAAGCTGGAGTAAAATCTAGGAGATTTGCCCATGGAAGAACCTCGCATGGTATCTCTATATTTCTCCAAAATAATGTATGACATGAATCATCCTTGCACTACAAAGGAAATCTAATATCCTCTCTCACCAAGACAACTTTCATAGCCAAGTATCCTCTCTTTCCACTCCTTCATACTGTTGAAGCTACTACTGATGAAGCTACTTTAACCTCCCCAGATGTCCAATTTCTGCCAATACAATCATTTGCACCAACTATTGTTGAAACTATGGTTCCCATTATGGACCAATATTCTATTGGAAATGTAGGTACCAAAGTAATCTCCCTACCTTTTGAAAAGATTGTAGAAAAGATTTTGGGGCAGAAAATCAAGTTGCATTATTTTCCCTTGAAACTGGTGCAATAGATGTTAAACCATTGAACGTGGATGCCTCACTAGTGGAGCCAAACCCAAGAAAACCTAAAGACTATACTCGGTAGGTGCTACCTAGTGAGGCGCATGAAGCAACAAGCTTTGCTTTTGAAGATCCGGAGGAGTTGATAGAAGATCTCACAAATGAAGAGGACAACCCCAATTTCGTTCAAGTGATCCTCCTCGAAGATCACCTTACTAAAATTTGGAGGAATATTTATCTCTCTGTCACAAAGAACAGCGAGGCATCATCGTCTATCCTCATATTGAATTGGTGACGAAGGTGAAGCCTCTTGATCCATATGGTTCATATTGTCTAAATAATCAAGCTATGGAGCTTATTCAAAAACTCAAGTTTAAGTATGAAGATGCATGATGCACAAGGATTGTCATTGAGCTTAGCTATGAAGGTTCATCTCACAACCTTTTTCTATAATTGGCACATCTAGAAGACCATGTCAGATTCATTCGTGGACCACATTTTGTCAAGTTGAGACCAAGCTCAAGGTTGTTCAACATTTCATCTGCAAAAGGAAAGAACGATCATCTGGATATGTCAAAGATATAAGGTATTTGTGCTACACTAAAGCTCATCAGTCTGGAGTCTATAGAGCCAACAAGGATTATCCTATCTTTACTATGGGATGAGGCGTTCTATAATCACTAACCCCACCTGTAACGAAGCCCTTCACTCGCAATGCCGTTTACCAACCACTCTGCCACTTTGTTTATCTATCTCTTTTTAGTTTTCATTTCATTGTTACTTTACCTATAATTATTTGTTTAGTGTATACATACTTCGCACTTGTTGTTACTTCTCCTTCACCTGTTCAAAAAGAGCAAGTACCACCATCTTCGTTTGCTAAACTCCTTGAAATGTTAGAGATTATCTCAAAACTAAAGACGATGGTCACTACACTAGTCACCGCACTACAAAAGCCACTTTGTCAATAATGCCAGTTTAGTCACCGTTGTCACAAGTTTCATAGCAAGTTTCGCCAGTACTTTAGCTCTATGATGAGACTCATAATTGGACTAGTCATTTTGATCTATCTTTTCTTTGATGCTAGCTTTTGTTGGTGTCAAAAGGGGGAGTGAAACATGAAGGAAGCAATTTTTATGTTTTTAAAGACATCCTCGCCATTTGACACTAATAAATAAATAGGAAGCACATGTATACGACCTTCCAATAGAGTGAATACTCCAAACATGTATGCAACATCCAAAAAGGTCAAATACCTTAAACATGTATCTAGCCTCGAATTAGGTTGAATACTCGAAACACGTACCCAACCTCTCAATAGGCTAAATATCTTTACCACATACTCAATCTCCACTTAATCTCCCAAATAACCAACTACCCTATAAGATGAAGTACAACATATACTTTGACACTAGCTCTTTTTGGTTGACGAATAGTTGAGAATACCATGCCTACATAAACACCAAATTAAGATTACTTAGTTTATAAGTAAATTAAAACCACAATTATGGTGGAATTACTTAATTAATAATTAGGCATTAAACCCATAGGCCTAAAGTCCTAATAAGATACGTATAAATAAGATGCATATTTAAAGGTAAGTATTATTTGTTAATGCATTGTTCACTTATTTACTAAGTATTTATTACTTTATATCAAATCCTTGCTTGAACATCAAAGTGTCATAGCAAGTACATCACTCTCTAGAGATTTAAATTACTTGTTAACAACGCAGAAAACTAAAGAACCACACAAGACAATAGACAAAGTTATTGTGTACCCTAAAGTAGGTATAATTGGTATGATTCATTTTATTTATATTTGTCAATATTACGTTTTTTTGTTTAATCCTTTTTTATTTTGTAACTATTCTTATCCCTTTATTTTTCTTCTGAAAATTAATTTCTAAAAGTAATGAACGCATTTTAGAAACTAATTTCAATGACATGTACCCATCAATAAATGTACATTCCAAAAATTAGTTCCTTAAAGAAATAATACTCCAAAAAAAAGAGGGCATTTAGTAAAGAGGAAGTTTATTTAGCAGTTGTCCAAAAAAAACAGAAAATGAGACCGAAACATGTTGATCCAAGTGAGGGCTTATGGATTAATGGTTGGGCCGGCCTAGTTTGAGATTCAAATTCCAAGGGAGCGTAATCAAAGGGTGGAGAGAGCTGAGGTGCGTAGCGTTAGGTTAACGCACTCATTCAAAACACCGAACTTGAAACCCTTCCAATATAAACCCTCGTTTGGTTGTGTTCTCTCAAACTCATTCTCTTATATTACTTTCTATCCTCTTCAACCCAACGCAGCATCGCTAAACTCACTATTTCATGGTACGCGCTGCCCTTTCAATTTCAACACTTTTCATTTCTATTTAGGCGTTCGATTTACTAACTATCTTTTGCGTCTTAGGCTTTGCCCAATCAGCAAACCGTGGATTACCCCAGTTTCAAACTCGTAATTGTCGGTGATGGTGGCACAGGTAATTTTTTCTTCCTTTTGAATTTTTCAGCAATGGTTATGTCAATTGCTTGACGATCTAGGTTATACCTTGGTATATGAGCTTTATTATCGTGTTGAACATTCGCAGGAAAGACGACTTTTGTGAAAAGGCATCTCACTGGGGAATTCGAGAAGAAATATGAGCGTAAGATTCATTTTTAATTAAGGATATGATGTGTGCCTAAATGCTCATCTTGTTCCACCTATGAATATATTCTTTTTCTTGATATTGCTTGTCCAAAACAGCAACCATCGGTGTGGAAGTTCACCCATTGGATTTTTTCACAAACTGTGGAAAGATTCGATTCTACTGCTGGGATACTGCTGGACAGGAGAAGTTTGGTGGCCTCAGAGATGGATATTAGTAAGTCATCTGGACTCAAGTTTTTGCTTGACAGATTGCGTTTGTTAGGACACGAGCTTAACAGAGGTTTTCACTCTCGAGTTGTTTTGCATGGGTATTAAAATGTATAATTGGTTACTTGTCGAAAAAAGTTATAGCCGTTTTATTCCATAGGTTTTATCAGTATCAGAGTTGGTGGTGTTGTTTTGCATGGCAGTTGCCTTTTTAGTCTTATTTCTATGAGGATGACTTTGTTAGATATATAGATTTCTGCGCGAGGAGAGTCTATCATTCTTCTGTGATGCGAGCAATTTTCTATCCTTATGCCTTCAGTCTGCCCTTTGTCTAATGCTAGTAATATTGTGTTTCCAGTATCCATGGGCAATGTGCAATTATAATGTTTGATGTTACTGCTCGGCTAACATACAAAAATGTCCCTACGTGGCACCGTGATCTTTGTCGGTTCGTACATGAACTCCTTGTAGCATTTTTTGGTATTGTCTCCCATTGTTTGGCTTTATGTTGTTTATATGACATCACCGGTAATGTCTGCCCAACTGATTTTTCAGGGTCTGTGAAAATATCCCAATTGTTCTCTGCGGTAACAAGGTTGATGTCAAGAACAGGCAAGTGAAGGCAAAGCAGGTTACTTTCCACAGGAAGAAGAATTTGCAGTACTACGAAATATCTGCTAAGAGCAACTACAACTTTGAAAAGCCTTTCCTGTATTTGGCCAGGAAACTTGCAGGGTAGAGCCACTAGTTTCTACTTCATAATTTATACGAAGTCCGAGCACATCAAACTTTCAAAAGCACATTAACTTACTGTTTGGTACGTGTGTCAATTTTGCAGCGATCCTAACTTGCACTTTGTAGAATCTCCTGCATTGGCTCCACCTGAAGTTCAAATTGATTTAGCTGCACAACAACAGTAAGCTATCTTTCGTGAACAAAATTGTTTCCTCCAATACCATCAACCTTGTGCTTGATTTACTATTGGGATGATAGGAAAGAGATAGATTGTGCATTTGCAAAGTTGCATTTGGAATTAAAAAATGCTTTCTAAAAGTGAATTGTCCCAATCAATAATAATAGGGAGGTGAGGTAAATGGGATAGAAAAAAGTGATTTGGGGTTTAAGGAGGTGGAAGACCTTATTTTTAAACAAGATGTAGAATGAGAACCGTTTCCCATACTCGTTCTTTTTACTATGCCAACTTAGCATTAAACAAAGTGAGTTAATTGACTCGACATCCATCCCATTCATGTATATTAATAGAAGCCCACATAACGCAATGGTTGTTTCATAAAGGTCTAGATGTATTACTTTTTTCGTTCGATTGAAATTGTTCATTTTAGATTTCCTATATTTATGTATTGGTGGCTTTTGCAGGCATGAAGCTGAGCTTGCTGCAGCTGCTAGTCAGCCACTTCCTGACGATGATGACGACACTTTTGAGTAGAGGAATTGTGTTTTGTGGACTGTCTTCCTGTGTGCTGGTATTTGAATGCTATTGTATGTGCTTTTGGGGGTTGTATTGGCATTTTTGGATGTGAACTCGATGATCTGAATTCAATTATGATATTTGTTTACTTAAATTGAAAATCTCCCTTAACCATAGATATCACCATGGGCGTTAAATTATGATTTTTGCGTGTCTGATCTTCCAATTGGGTGGTTTCCATATTTCTATATAAACTCAGCTTAATGAAATCGTTTAAACTCAGTTTAAGGGTTGTGTTGTAAATCACTTGATATATAGTATAGTGGTGTTGCTCGATGTAGGATCTAGCTATTGTATATAAAAAAACAATGAGTAAAGTAATTCAAGGGATCTATAAGTCTTTGTAATGCTACCTCTTTCTCTTAATGATAAGTAATAAATTAATTTTTTTAATTGAGTAACAATTATTAGTTTTTAAAGATTTAAAGAATTATTTATTGGTCGGTAGAAATTACATTTTGTAAGTCCAAATAATATCTATGGGCAAAAAACATTTAAAAAGTTATTTAGGTTGATTTTCTTTTATACTTTTCATTTATTGCTAATTTGATATTTTAAACATTCACTTATAATTAATATTAAACATAATTATTACTTAAAGTAAAAGATGTATTTGAAATAAAATTTGAATTATGATAAAATTAAAAATAATTATATTATTTATTTTGATCTTGATGATTTGTATTATTTTTTTGTAATTAAGATCATTGTAAATAACTATTAATTATTTATTTTGATTGATTTGTATTATGATGTTTATAAATAAGATCGGGATTAATACCAGCAGTGTAAATTCTTGACTGAAAAAAGTACTAAGAATTGAGACATTTAAAATTAAGTTCCTGAAACAGAGTAGTGCAAATTCTTTGGTGTGATGAAAAATACTAAGAATCAAGACATTTAAAATTGTTGATCCAATTTTTATAATTTTAATATTTATAATATTACATTGTGGGTATATAAAAATGACATTTATTTGTCATTTAACATGATTATTATCAATTTAAATGATAATAATATAAATAAATAAATAAAGGTGATATTATTTTTGGTGTTCACATTTTTTATGAAGACTTTTTATTTTTTATTTATTATGATAGTATATATTTTTTTAGTGTAATAATTCAATAGATTTTTTTTATTAATTTAAATAAGAATTATTATTTATTCAAAATCATGTTTTTCTTTAATAATTTTTCACTCCACAATTGTTTTAACTTCCATGTAATATTATAATTTTTTTAAAAAAAATCTCTTGTAATATTATTATTTTTTATTTATCTTAGTCTTTATTATTGTAATTTACTTGCAATATATGAACAACTTATTTCTAGTCGACTAGTTTTGTTTCAAACCAACTCAAAATAAAAAAGATTTAAAATTTGATATATTATAAGAATACAATTTAAAAGAGTTTAAAAGATTTAATTGCACCTTTCATCGCTTGTTATTACTGTTTATATGATATATTAATGTTAATGTAACATTATAATATAGATTGTTGATATGACATATATTTAATGTGACATAATGTGACTTTAATAATAAATATATCATATCAATAATTAATATTATATTAATAGTCAATATGTCACATGAACAATCAATTAATAGTACTAGATGATTAATTATCGAGATGAAAATATGTGAGAAATTTTAAAAAATGAATGATAAAATTTGTAAAATTGTGATAAATTGTTAGTAAAATTTGTAATTAAGTTAATAAAGTAACAATAATTAAAATAAAATAAAAAGTTACAAGGACAGTTAATAAATTAATAATTTTAAGAGAACCAATAAGAAAATAGAATATTATGGAAACAAAAAAAAAATAAATCTTAAAATGTTTATTTATTATAAATCTTAATTATATAAAAATATTTACCCAATATAATACTATTAGGTTAAAAGACAATTTTAGATCCTCTAATCTTAAATTTTATTGTTAAGAAACATAAAAAAAAATTATCAATAGAATAAAATCTTGCTATAAGATGAAAATTACATTAAGACGATTTTGTTATTGTATAAGATGAACCCTTAGTCATAAAAAGATATATATATTAAATCTTTATCATTTACTATCTCTAAACAATAAATATTTTCTTCACAAATCAAATTTAAAATTACTTTCTCAGTAGTAATGTTCTACAAAAAGAAAAGAAAGACATACTTTACATTAGAAAAAGACAAGTAGATCTCTATAAATACAAAAAGTTACAGCTAAGGATGACAATAAGTTAGGGTTTAAGCAAAGACTTATGACCTAGTCTCATTATAGTTTGGTCTGTTTAATAAACATGTCAAATTTAAGCTTTTAAAAAAGTCTATTTATATATATATAAAAAGGCTAGACTTAGCTTATGGCTTGATAGGTCAACTTATTTATTTATATAATATAATAAAAAATTAATATACATATATTATTAAAAATATAAATAAATAAATAAAATTATAAAACAAAAATAAATGATAAATATTTAAAATATATTATGAAAAGAAAGAGAAAATAGAGAGAATAAAAAAGACAATATGAGATGGAGAAAAGAATCTGACCGGAGTATTATCTTTAGGAGAGGACTAACTTATTTATAAATACATGTGGTAACCGAACAATTACACAAAAAGGGAATAATACATAATGGAAATATAAATAATAATTGATAGTGAATATTGACATCCACTAATTGAGTCACTAATTATTATTCATAACACTCCCCCTTGGATGTCCAATATTTAAAACGTGTCTCGTTAAAGCCTTACTAGGAAAAATCTTATGGGATAAAAACCTAGTGAAAAAAAAAGACTATATCATTCATAAATATTTGTTTCTCCCACTTATAGATACAATCTTTAAGACAACGAAGTCCAATCTTGTGTATCAACTACTCAAAAACTTTTTTTTGAAGTGACTTTGTAAAGAGATTTGCTAGGTTGTCACTTGAGCGAACATGTTGAACATTTATATCACCATTCTTTTGAAGATCATGAGTAAAAAAACATTTGGTAGAATATGCTTTGTTCTATCTTCCTTTACGTGTCCATCTTTCAACTATGCAATACATGTAACATTATCTTCATATATAACTGTTGATATCATTTTTCCAAAAGATAAACCACAAGTTTCCTATACATGTTGAATCACAGATCTTAGCCAAACGCATTCACGACTTGCCTCATGTAATGCTAAAATTTCTGCATTAGATGAAGTGGTTGATATGGTTTATTTTACAGATCACAGTTAAATGGTTATACCACCACTTGTAAACAAATATCCTGTTTGTGATTTACCATTATAAGAATCTGACAAATAACTTGTGTTTACATAATCATTTAGTTTTAGTTTGGAAACATTTGAATATGATAAACCCATATCCATTGTACCTCTAAGATAACGAAGAATTTGTTAAACTTCATTCCAATGTCTTTATGTGGGTGAAAAATTATATCTTGCTAACAAATTAACAACAAATGTTATATCAAGTCACGTATAATTAGCAAGATACATTAGTGCTTCTATAGCACGAAGATATGATATTTCGGGACCAAGTATTTCTTCATATTTTTCTTAGGGTCTAAATGGATCTTTGTTAACATCTAAAGATCTTACAACCATAGGAGTTCACAATGGATGTGATTTGTTCATATAAAACCTTTTAAGTACCTTTGTTATGTTAGCTTCTTGATGCATAAGAATACCATTTTCTAAATATTCAATTTGTAGTCCTAAGCAAAAAAATTTCCTTCCTAGATCCTTCATTTCAAATTATTTTTTGAGGTAATCTATTACTTTTGAAAGTTAGTTAAGAGTTCTAATAATGTTTATGGCATCTACATAAGCTACTATTATGACAAATCCATTTTCAAATCTTTTATAAATATACACGGATAAATTGAATCATTTTTATATCCTTCTTGTAACAAATATTCACTTAGCTGATTATACCACATACGACCTAATTACTTTAGTCTATATAGGGATTTATTCAACTTGATCGAATAATTTTCTCTAGAAATTGCATCGCTAGGCAAATTAAATCCTTATGGAGTTTCATATAAATGTCAACATCAAGAGAGTCATACAAATATGTTGTAACTATATTCAATAGATGTAAATTAAGTTTTTCATGTACAATCAAACTAATTAAGTATCAAAATGTACTTGTATCTACTACATGTGAATATGTCTCTTCAAAACCAATACCAGATCTTTGTGAAAATCATTGAGTAAATAGTCTTGCTTTGTATCTCATAATTTCACCATTTTCATTTTGTTTTTGCACAAAAACTCATTTGTATCCAATTGGTTTTATACCTTTTGGTGTACGTAGTACTGGTCCAAAAACATTTCACTTAGTAAGCAAGTCTAATTCTACCTCAATTGCATCTTTCTATTTTGGCCAATCATTTCTTTGTTAACAATCCTTGATGGGCTTTAGTTCTTAATCCTCGGTATCATTTATTACATTTAACATTGTATTATATGCAAATACATTGTCAATGTTGGTTTTATTTTGGTTCCATTATATTTTCATTCATGACATAATTTGATATCTTTTTGTTTTCACAAATTTTAGGAACTTGAGTTCTTCTGAGACTTATTAATTATGTTAGAAAAATCTTTTAGACTTCCTATATTCTTGATTTGACCACCTTGGTTTTTAGATACTTTTCTAAATTAAGAATTTCTTATATTTGGAACCAATAAGTTTACCATGCTTCATGCATATTTGAGACTTTTTACAATATTGTCCAACAAGGACATCAATTTTGTTGGAACATTAATAGTTGCTATAGATATGATTTAACCACTCCAACTGTTTATTTTCTCTCCCCTAATATTGGGAAAATCATCTCATTAAAATAGTAATCGGTAAACAGAGCCATAAACAAATCTTCAATTAATAGTTCAAGATATTTTATTATAGATGGAGATTCATATCCTACATATATTCCCAACCTTCTTTGAGAACTCATTTTAGTTGTTTAAGGTGAGACAATTAGAACATATACAACATAAATAGAAATTCTTAAATGAGAATTATTGGATTGCTCACTAAAAACCAATTGTAAATGAGAGAATTTGTGATAACTTGTTGACTTGATGCAAATTAATACTACAACATGCAGGATTGCAAGC